TCACAGTTTGAAAGTTTTGATAAACATGCTGAAAAGTGAAAAGTTTATAAACTGAATGTCTGAAAGAATATATTGCTTCTTTAAGAACAGGTACAGCTTTTCTTAGAAGAGCCAGAGCTGAACTAGTCTATGGAATTTCAGAATCTGCATTAAAAGTCCCATTGGAAAAGGCTAAAGTAAAATTCTGCTTGGCTTTTAGTGGCTGAAAGTGTGTTATAAAAAGCCCAGACTGGAAGAAAAAAATTTATGATTTCTATTGCTAGAGCTGTTAGAAAAATCAAACCATGAACTGTGAGAAGTCACATGGCTGGGCACCTGCAACCAGTTTTTGAGATGATAAAAGAAAACTTTAGACACTTTGACAGCTCTTCTGTGGGTATAATTTTTTTTCTTTTTTTTTCTTTTTTTTCTAAAACCACTTAGAAGCTGAAAAAGTGGAAACCTTGTACTCCACCTACTTATGGGAAAAAAAGAAGAGAGTTTGAGACTTGCTGGTTCTAAAATATTAACAGACATTGTGATTGGAGTTACTCAATTCAGTAACTAGCAGAAATGGTTCTGCATAATAAATAAGTTACAATTATTGCACGTGCTTTATAGTCAAAATAGTTTTGCTAATCTTTGTTCTGATGGGCCTAATATATTTTGCTTTCTAAGAAGTGCTAATTTCATGCATTCATAATGAATTCTCAATTTACACTGGAAAGCAAGTTGAAACAAAAAAAAAGCTATAAACTGAATTGGCTGTTAAATAAGTGTTTATTTATCATTTTAACATAACAGAATGGAAAAATTGAAATATAAAAAAATGGAAGTTAAGCTTTGTAATGGTGCTAAGTGTGAAAATAGTTTGTACTACTGCAGAGCAAAATTTAGTGTAAAGATTAAATAAATTGTGAGTTAACAGACCATCTTGTTTACCAGCCAATAAAAATTCATTTTCTTTAGGAAAATATCTGAGCAAATGCAAAAGAGGGTGAAAACTGATGATTTAAAAACAAGTTTCTAGCTGCTGCTTTGATTGTGGTCAATAATTTAAGCTTACAGTGATTCCCAGGTAAGGTTTTCCTGCAGGATGGAGCTCAGATCATGAAGATTCACTAGAACTGCTCCTGAAGTCTTGGCTCACCAGCATGGAAGTGGCACAGCCGCCAGCCTGGCAGAGGCAATGCAGCAAGGCAGGGTCCTTCATTCAGGCTTTTTGCTGTGAGCAGGAGTGAGCCATTCCCTCTGCCATCTGAGACTTTTCCCAAGTCAGCATTAACTCATCTGGCACTGTGGGCTGGTCCAGAAGGAAGCACATGCTCTGCTTCTCTTCCTTTCACAAGAGACTCTTCTGTTAGCTCTGTGGTACTGAAAATTATAGGGATGAATGATGAAAATTGAACTTCGAGCTGTTTTACATTCTTTCAGTACCATTTAGTGTGATGGTTGTTGACTTTTCCCTGCTGCTATACTTAGAAAGGGGAGGAGGAAAGAGATGAGTGTTAGTATTATGGGTTTTGACACAAAAACTTCAAAAAGAAAGTCTGTTCTCATTTCTCTTTGGTATTCTTTGGGGACCTGCAGTGTTTAGAAAAAGCTCCTATTCCACACAGGAACTTAGGAAAAATGGGTACCAAACTTTGTTTACACTCTAGGACTACATATGGCCATACAAGGTGGGTGGGTAACTAGGACACAGCTTTTTCCTCCACTGAGCTTAGTTTCCCACCACTAGATAAACTTCAAGTAGGTTGCCTGGTGGAATTATTGTTCCTTACACGTCAGAGCTTGGATTAAACATAGAAAAATATCCTCTGTGTTCATCAAATAAAAATCCATGGGAAAAAAGCTGCATAATGCCCCAGAAGAAATCTAAATTAATTAAAGTCACCCCCTACAGAGAACTTGGGCTCTGTTTATTTTCAACAAACTATTACAGGTTTTGCAATATTTTTCTGGAAGTTTTTCACAAACATTCCTGCTTCCTCTCATTCCAGGCCAGGGCTGAACTGCCAGGATGGAGAAATTCTTTGGACCTGACCTTTGATCATGAGAGACAAAGGCGCTCAGCCCCAGTCAAACAACAGCATTTTACAGATCTACTACATCTACAGATTTAAAGCTGCAACGTGAATGAAAAAACCTAGAGTTCTGCAAACTGTGCCATAAAAATATATCAAAAGAGTCCAATGCAGTGAAAGTATGACATCTTCCAAGCAGGGGAAAGAAATGTAAAGTTCCTTCCATAGGTAACAGCATGCCTTGACTGCAAAGCCCTATTGCACATCTCATCCCTTTTTTCCCACCTCCCATGGACAGGACAACCCAGACCTTCCAAGTGCAGTGCAGCACCCTGATCACTGCCTCCTGTCACCCTCTCAGCACCTCGTGTGGGCTGCAGGATGTGCACAGGGTCAACCCTGCAGGTCCTTCACCTGCCTTGCTGCAGCCAAAATTCCAGGGTTGAGCCACCAGTAGAAGCAGTGATGAGCAACATCTCTGATGTCCTGGGAAGCTGTATGCACCCAGGAGTGTCTCTCAGGGTATGACTCCAGCACCTGCTCACTCTCCTGCCTATAGATTCTCTCTGTGAAGGACAATTTCAGTGCAATGGTAACAACTCAAGAAAACAAAATGCTTTGTAACTTTCAGTGGGAAACAGGGGCTGTCAGGACAGTCTCTCTTCCTGTACTCTTTCCATTCACCCCCAATTAATGTCTGCAGTTCTAAAGGTGCCCTGTCCCCTCCCCCTGATTCCCACTATAAACTAAACTCAGATACTGCAAGTACACAGAGGGATTTTCAGATTTCCACCCACGTAAACAGTTACTTGGCACATCTGATGCACATGTGAAATTGGTTCACAGGGGCCAGGACAGGCACCCACGTCTCCACTTCTAGCTCAACTGAGCTTAAATTTTATCATTTATTTTATTTCAGAGAAAAAAATACACAAATTACTTTACTTCACAGAGGAAGAAACCTCAGCAAAGCATCTTTTTCCCCTGGCAGGGTTGGGTTACAGCTCCCCCACTCCCGCCCACGCAGCTGAACCCAGCGCCTGGTCAGGCTGAGAGCAGCAAGGAAATCAAATGCACATGTCAGCATCCCCCTCTCCTGCTCCAGCCACGAACCACCCCAGCAGCAGAAGACATGCCAGGGAGTGGTATACTAGCCATGTCTTTTCTCAGATGAACTGTACAGCAAAGTCATGTTCACTTGGCCTGATCAAAGTTTTGGAAAGGTAATACTCTAAAGGTTCCCAGCACGGAGTTTTCACACCAAAGTTCAGAGCTCTGGGATACACAGGCAAGAACTTCAGTGTAAAAAAGTTAATGTTAATGCTCATTAAAAGTGGACAACAGATATTTCCTTAAAGGAAATTATGCCAGTCTGATTAAGCAAGTGCTAATTAACAAATATAATGGACTGCAAGTCTAAAAAAATTTGCTATATTGTTTTCATTTATAATAGTTTCTATTATAAATAGAGAGAATTCATCCTCCCTTCTCACTTGCTTATTTAAGCAAAATACATAAACACTCAGCATAATATCGTCATCTGCCTCACTCCAATAATTTTTATTTCATGCTTATCTGGATACTTGTTTTCTTACTAAAGTTGCCTGTATTCCATATGTTGCTTAAAAATAGTACCTGTCATTTAAGACTGCACTTCACCATCATTTCCATAAATAGCTCCAAGTAAAACAAGAACAACTAGTCCAAGTTACAAATATGCTTCTCTCTTTTTAGGAGATGCAAGAGAACAATTTTTATTTTAATTTATCCTATTTCAGTGAAGTGCAATGCTCCAAGTGAAGAAAAAGCTAACTATGCAGCTTGTAAACATGAGCTACAATTCAGTCATAAAGCTGCCAAGCAGAGGAACCATGTACTCAACTTCTCAAGTTGTTTTGCCATGAATAAAGCAAAGGTGAGAGCCTTCTTTCAGCATAAACTTTACACTAGTTGCACTTGGCTTCTTTTACTAAGAATCTAAGAGGAAGTAACAATTTATAACCCAGGGTAAATCAAAGCAAAATGGCTCTGATAAACACTGGAGCCTATCAATGACAAGGAGACGCTGTATCAGATGGCTGAGGAATTCCAGAGCTCTCCAGTGGCTCAGCAGAGCCAAAGGTCTTTAGGAAAAGCCATAGCTAGCTGAGGGCAGGTGGCGCAGCACCACAGCCTGGCACCGAGACTGCCAGCTGCCCAGCAACATCCAGGAGTAGCCAGAGTATTGCTAGAAACACATCCAGGAAGCAGAGAACAAAAGGGAAAGGAAACCAAAGACCAAGTGGTGCTAGGAAGCCTCAGCGTAAGAGACACACATTCCGCTGCCAATTTCTTCTGAGCAGCATTGCTGGGAATCGAATGTCTGCATCAGACTGGTTTTCAGACTGATGAAAACTGAACTTATGTTTATAACCAAGATGAGAGCTCTGCTAGAATTTTTCCCTAGTAGTTTGGTTTGGCACCAAAAACAGAAAGGCAAAGAGATCGTGAGATGATAAATCCTATTAACACACCTACTACATGTTCAGAAGTTTCAGGTTCTTGTTAGGGAGGCTGGGAAGACAGCAACATTTCAGGTCTGCATACACAGCTGAAGCATTAAACCTCTTCTGCATATAACAGTGTATAATAAATGTGCAGGGAGAAAAAGGCGAATGGTGAAATAAAGCTGAAAATTTACCACTGCTTGTTTGCAAACAGATGCAAGAGGAACCAGACAAGCATAATATTTGGTAGTCTGCATAATTACAACAGATGTCTATGTTGGATAAAGTGGCCTGTACGGTAGTTACAGAGGCAGAGTCTAACATACATAAATATGATCAAAACAGCTACTTATTATCAATTTGCTTATGAAGAAGACAGTTTATCTGGTGTTTAATATTTATAGCTATACTTACAGCAATATTCACTGCACCCTAGAAAGAAATTCAGATCTACTACCTTAAGCAAAGTGGGCTTCAAAAAACTGGATGTCAGACTATACAAATGAAGTATTAGTTTAGGCATAGTAGACTTTATTTTGGCACTTTAACAAATGCTTTATTTTACAGCAGTGGCACAGCATTTGCCAGAAATTTTCTTTTCTTGGCACAGTTATTTCAAGCAGTTATTTTACTAATTGAAGTTCACTAAATATTGCACAAGATATACCTGTTAAATTCTTACCCTGTTTTTACTTGCTGAACTTGTATGGCTTTGAAAAACTTGCCAGTTCAGTATAAGTAAAAAGCAATATATTAAATATTTTAGCACAGGATAGCATTTGTTTGTTCCTAAATGACCACTGAACTTGGGACAGCAACAAATACAAGTTGCACAACTCTTATCTGAAGAGCTACCAGATCTTATTTACAATATATTGCCATTTCTGAAAAGCACTTCAGCTTGACATCCTGAACACCTGTATTTGGGAATCTCAAAAATAAAAGACGAGGAGGTCAACAGAGCAGAAGACGAAGCCATTTGTCTGTTACAAAGCATAATATAAGGAGGCAGACTAGCATCTTCTCCCTGTGTCCCTCTATCCAGCACCTATCTAAGTTCTAAGCAACAGAGACTTCTCTCTTCTACTGGGAATATTTCTTTCTTCTCTTATGAAGATATTCCACTTGTCTCAACTCTTCTGCTGGAGTCTGAGCAGAATAAACCAAAATTCTCTGAAGGGATGGGGAAAAAACAAACGCGAACAGCAAATCAAAAACAAATACACACAGTAAATGAGCTGGGGTACTCCTTTGAATTTTACAGCAGGGAAAACAACATTTGCAGGAAGAACAGGCCCGTGTCAACGCTGCCATTAAACATAATTCAAAAGTCGAATGTCCCACAGCTAATACACCAGATGCAAGACTTAAACATTCCCTCTTCTCTCTGCCACCTTAGCAACAAATCCGGTGTGAGGATCACCCTGATCAACAGCCTTTCTTTTTTTGGTCTGGATTTTTTAAGATCTACTAAATGTACTCTGTGACATTAAAACATAAGCAAATAGACATGAAATGGAAAACATACAAAAGTATATCACAATAGAATTCTCAGTATTAGGCCACATGATTTATTCAGTAGTGTTTATGTTCCCAAATTACAATTGTGTCTATCCATGTAAGACTACAAAAGTTACCATTAGAATTGTCTGTGCTTATAAAATACCAACATTTTCTTTTACTGTTATATACTCACTAACACCAGTCTGCAACGAGTCACATATAATCATAGGCACTTCAAAGGCTTTAAAGACGTTTACAACTTAAATGCGTTTTTAAAGAACAAAAATTTAAACCTCTACTTGTACCTTCAAATTGCAAATAATTAACAAATACAGTGGCCTTAGAAATCTGCAGCAACTTCTCAAAATACTGTTAGAGTCTTTGGGTTTGCTTAGGTTTGTCAGTAGCTTACTACAAATCTTCCTTACAGGAGATTTGTTTAGTAAGAATACGACTATACAGTTTGCAGTAATAATCCAATTTTACACGTTAATTTGCTGTTACAAATCTCACTGAAGCTACAGGTACGCTGAGAAACAATGCAAAGTGTAAAATTGATATTCTGACACTTAAATTTATACAAAGTGGAGGCTGAAGTTTACATAGCTGAAAAATTACATTTACACTAAAAGTTACTGTTATCTGAATTATCTGAAGACAAATTGCACCATGACAACTACAAAAAGGCATTTTTTGGAAACAGATAAATTAATGAAATAAAAACTAAGTTGTAAGATCAATCTGAGACATGCTGACCAAAATTAAACAACTTTCATTGAACCATAGGATAAAAACAATAATTTTCATTATTTTATATTTATGCATAAAGTTTTAAAAATCATTCAGTGAACATCAATGGTTTTATAAAATAATGCTTTGCCACTGTTATTCACAGAACACTGCAAATGTTAAGTTTTAATTTTACATTTTTAAACGAATACGTGAAAAGTTTTAAATACAATGGGGTTTTATCATAAAGGTGCCATAATGGCTCTTTAATGAAAAAAAAACTTCATTATTCTATGCAAAAGCTTTATTTAAAAAAGTTCAGTGATCTCATAAATAGAGACACTAAATAGGAATTTTATGCATAAAACTCCTTAGTTGGTGCCTTTTGATAGGCAGCACACGATGGTTTACGTTCACCAAGGTCGTAACTGCCTTCATCCTTCTTTCTCATGCGATACACCAGCAGCAGGATAAGGAAGATTGCAAAAAGAAAACCAATAACTCCGCCAGCAATAACAGCTGTAATCAAAGAAACAGAGATTCACAATATGCCAGTAAAACAAGTTTAGCACCATACTACTTTTTCATCTCACACAATGAGTTTGCTATTATTTTCAAATTGCAGGAAAGGGCTCCCATTATGCAACTGTCTTCATTATTAGTATCCTGAAATATACTGTCAGAAAGCTTGTTGGCATTCATGAAGGCAATCATTTAAAATGATATTCCACTTAAAAGTCAGAGATCCAACAACCCAGTTTTAAAAAAGTTATTTTTTTCAAAACCTCAGCTAAGAAGACCACTAGTACTGCCAGAGCATAAAGCTGTCTTTAAAACTAATTTTTCAACAGTTACATTTTCAACTAAAAGATTTTGTTATCCTAGCTAAGAAATGGACTTTTACTTTTCTCTGTCAGTTTTCACTCTGACTCTACACTAAAACAAACTTCCTGTTGATCAATAGTAATAGGAGAGAACACTTCATGCACTTTTGAGTGTGTGAAAAGTATCAAGTCCCAACCAGACCTCAGGAGGAAACCCACATGCTTCCACTCATGTGGATTTAAGGTTATTTCACATTTTGATGCTCATAGGAAGATGTGGTCCAAAACTATGTGACTTTCATGGCTCCCAACTCCCCCTCCAAATACAAGGGGGGAAAGTACACCTGTAAACACTTTCCTTAGGCCAAAAAAAAAAATCTCACAGGTAGTGAAAACATTGGTGGCCAGCTTTTGCCTCCCTGGATTATGCATAGAAATAGACCCTCTTTATCTTAAGGGATCTCTGTGCCCTAATGGATTGTGCTTATCCATCCCTTTCCACCCACCCATACCTGCCATGAGCTCCTCCCAAGCATTGCTTATCTGCACCAGATGGACCAGACAGCAATGTGCTCTTGGGGGGTGAGAAATACATTTCTTCATTACAAGCATCAATCAAATTCCAACTCCTTTTCTGAGCTGTGAAAGCTCCAGATACTCAGCCGGCAGTGTTCGACTTGTGGGCATCAAATCAATTAGCAACGGACTTTGCTATTAAATATTTCCCCAAGATGCCCAATTTATTCTCATCAAATCAACCACTCGCTACCCCCTATGAATGTGCTTATTACTAATGTGTTTAATAGCATCAATCTGCCAAGAAATCTTGAATGTTGAGTTTGCATTATTTGATACAAAGATCCTCTCTGTTTTATTTCTGGTGAGACAGACCTTGGCAAACACTGCCTCACCTGCCAAAACTTCCGTTCTCTGGAAGAGGTTTTCTGAATGCTTCTGAGTGAGCACATCAGTATCATCCCCTGGCTCATCACTCTTTTTCTTGGCATCCATCTCAGGCCTTTCTTCTTTCTCAATTTCTTCAGGTGACTGTGGCACAGAAAAGAAATCTGAGCATTGCTTACAGAGAGGGCAGACCACGAGTTGGCACATTCACTGCCTGCTGTGGGCAGTCACGTAGCTGCGGCTCCACGCACATACTGCACAATGCCAACACAACACATAGGAAGCTTTTAGAGCACAGAAAGCTGGTCTAGACATTGTAATTGGATCTATTTGTCATCATCATGTCAAAATGAAAGCACTGCCCATAAGTTTAAAACCTCTGAAAGTACATTTAGGAAACAGCTCTTAATATTGCCTGTGTTTATCAGTATAAAAGCCTCTGAATGAAATAACAACTCCGAAATTAACACATCAGATATGTTATATGCAGAACATCTTTGAGGGTAACTTAGTATGATCTATGGTGGCAGAAGGAAATACTAAAATATTAAATGGAACCTGCCATTCAAACTACAGCCAAACCATATAGCATTCTCCTTTAGAAGGGAAGTTTCACACAGAATTTTTGAATAACTTTTCCAGAAATGTAGAAAAGGTACAACTCAGACTGGAAGGTATCTTGAGAAACTGTCTGGTGTACCATGATACATTATTTTGCATCTTTCTTTTCTTTCATGTGAAATCCAGATGTTGCCATACAGACTTTCTAGTAAGAATGAAAAGTGGTCTCAGCCCTGGATGCATCACTAGTTGTCGGTAACTTTGGAACTGTTCTGGATGTTGTTATCACTGCACTGTCCTCATCTTCCTCAGCACCTGGAGACAAAATGTAACATTTCATTGACCCATGAAATTCTTTCAGACCGATTAAATTTTTTACTATGACACCAAGGTAGAGGTTGCACAGCCCACCCTAGGCAAGGGGCCTAGATGACAATGCCTGCTAAGATAAAGATGTGAGTGCAAGCAGTGAGCCTGAACTGTCAGGGGGATAACTTGCCCCAAGTGACCCCATGAAAAAGGAAGGGAGTGCATCAGCTAGAGTAAGCAGCAACCAGGAAATTACCATGACTTTTCAAATGGAAGAACCCTTCCTGAAAAGAGGTATGAGAAGAGCTTTAACACTTGTAATAGGGGCAAAAAGTCTGTAGAGAAAGCAGCAGCCATCAGGCCTGTGTGACATGGGCAGACCCAAGTGCCATGGGTTCTGATGAGGTCCCACTGCATCAGGGTCTCTGCTGGAGCTTGACAGTGCCACCACCCACCCTGCGGGTACCCTCAGCAGCTACCTCCAGCTTCCTCAGAGACACCTAGAACCCACACCCTGGGGTGCAGAGTCTCCTCCTGGGCGAGGCAGGAGGTGTTGGTGGGGCCCCAGGCCCATACGGAGGTACCCAAGTCTCCCACAGCAAGGGTGTGTGGACAGAAGATCGGGTACACTCAGATAAGGGGAGCTTACACACCCATGGCCTGTGAGACAGGTGTCTGTGTGCACATGGCACACATTGGATCAGTTACAGAAAGTGATTTAGAAATTTACAGTAGCCTGTTACCATTTTATAGTAGGTATTGTGCTTGTCTGTTGTGCTGTTGATATTAAGCCTATAAGTACAGTTCAGTGATTGCTAGTTAATTACATACCATAAATAAATCAATACACTTCTTTATCCTTACTTAATCTATTGAACAGTTTTTGCCTGTAACACAGGGCTTCAGCAATCTACAGCACATCTGTTGAATTCTGAAAAACTAAGCAGTTTCTATCTACAGGAAGATTATTACTACTTTGTATTTCAGTCACTAAGAATTCACATGGTTTTGAACTCCACATAATTCAGAAGCCCTTTTCTTTTGAACTGAGTAAGAGGACAAAAAACTCCCTAAAGATTACCTTAAATTTAATTTCCTCCACATTCAAAGGCCTGCTGGAGTATGAAGGCTCCTTTAGAATAACGTAATGGACATCGCTAATAAATATCCTTTAGTGATAGTGAAAGGAAGAAGACACAGGAAAGAGACTAAATTATTAGCAAGGCCTGAAAGAGTAAAAAAGAATTGACCATTCTTGGACCACTCCTTAGGAATCTCAATGTGTTCTGCTCATTACAGGCATTGGTTACCCAAGTAACCCTTGGGTAATAAATCTAGCAAATGTGCATAAGAATAGTTCCTAACAAATAAAACGCTCCTACAACAGAATAGTATGACTCACTCATTCCAAACTGATTTTTTCATCTGTTTTTTTAAAGAAAGAAGACAGGCTGAAAATATGAGCACAGTAATGATGTTTTGAAGTCATGATCAAGAATTACATAAATTTGGCATTTAACAAGACAAAAAACTAAAACAATTTCTGTATGGTAGAAAAGAAAATTTAGAATAATTAAGAAAAGATACTGGCACAGAATAATACTGGGAAAAAAACTTTCAGAGATACCAAAATTACAGCACAACTTCTAGAATGAAGACCTCACAACAAGAATCAGGTATTTTCCTGAAATGCAACTCAAAGATCAAAAAGTCGACATCCTGCTTCAAAACAGAGGTGTGGAAAGGCATCCAAGAGGAAAATTTTTCTGGCTTTGACTCAAGAGTTTTCTTTGAGAAATAATGGCTCACTGTATAGTTCAACCTACTTTACCTTGTGAAGTTCCTCCGTATTACACAAAGCTTTCATAGGCAAGGAAATTAAAATTGATTATCAGATTAGAGATCTGATAAAACACATCTTCTGAGTACAGAAATGTATTTTCTTCTTTTTATGGAATGAAAAGTCCCAGTTAATCACAACTGCTGCTCCAAATCCTTAAATGCCACCTTTGCTTCAGGCAACAGCCGTGTCTGCCAGACATAATGGAGAGATTACAGTCTGAACTCTTTGGCTAAGGAGGATGCAGACCCACATTCTCTCAAGAAATGGGCAACTTATCTAATCCCTGGACTAGTCACTAGATTTGCACCAAAGGTACCCAGATCTTCTTCCATACAGCTTCAGAGGAATTCTCACAATCCCCAAAATGTATCATTTAGGCCTGATTTGGGTACCTGCTAAGACACATCCCCCATGGTTCCTGCTTTCTAATCACCTTTATCTAAACAGGTCTCTGCTTGGCATGGGATAGATCTAAACAAGGAGAAGACACCTCCCTTGCTAAACTGACGGCAGTATTTTTTGAATTACCTGTAAATAGGAATGAGGGACCAAAAAATCCACTCACTAGTCCTCTCCAGAACATAGCAACACATAGTTTCATATTATACTAGAACATACTTCACATAGTATCATGCTCCCTAGAAAGCAGAAAAAAGAGCATCACCAAATCCAAATGAGATTGGAAAGAAAAAGCCTACAGTGTCATGAGCGTGACTTCCAAGTAGGTTGTTAAGAGGAATACTGTGAAATGGTTGGAGTAGAAGAACTTAATTCTTCCTCTGGAAAATATCACTGTTTTTGTAGCTGGATTTGGTCAGCTTGGCTTATAGTGCTGGCTATTCACTGCCTTGAGTCCCTCTTATTGAGGGCACCCTAAAAACCCCCATAGTTAAAGCCATAAGCCATCTCTTTGGTAGAGCTGAGAGCTCTCAACCATCACACACCATCTTTTATCCACTGTAACTTCTTCAGGATGTCCAACTGCTGTCCCCGTAGTGGTCAAAATAACTCTACATTGCTGTAGTATCAGAAATATCTGATATAACCCTCTCAGCAATGTGCCTATTAACCATCCTTGGATAACAGGAATGTGAATACTTTTTAACACTCTTAGTGCTTGAGGAAACTTGTCAGGAAAGCAAGATTTTACTGCACAGAAAGTAGAAATTACTGTATAGATAGTAGAATTTTTTGTAGGAAAAAGCCCACAGTAGTTAGCACTCTGACTTGCAAAGCAGCCAGTGATTAACACCTCCTATCAAAAAAATCCAATCACTTCACCCTATCTTTTGGCATCTAATTTGTCTGCTGTTGCACATCACACTCTGGGAGTACCACCACCACAAGCAAATTAGTGAGCAGGTGGGCATACACACAACCACCATCTCTTTCACACCTTCCATCTCTATCAGCAATGTGACACACACCAAAATTAAATATTTTTAGCTCACTTATCTCACCTCCATTCACTGAACAGTCCCCAATGCAACTCTTAATCAACATAGTGTTAGGCATCCAGAGATGACACTGTAAACATAATTCTGTACCTATAATTCTAACTGCAGCTGAAATAAATTGAGACAGTGGATGTCACATCTCTGCTAGCTCTCACACAAGGAAGAAAAAACAAAGAAACCAACAAAACCTGAGGGAGGATTAAAAATAATAGCCCTAACTATACTGAAGTATAAGATTCTGTCCAGTGCATGAAAAACACACTTTCAAACAGAATCATAGTAGTTTTTTATGTTAGAAGATCTGGAGAACCAGGCAATCAATGTTATGAAGTATGTTTGGGGCTGGTTTAGCAGCTGACAGAAGTTCCTGCTCCAAGACAATCTGAAAGGCCCCTATGAGTGGGACCATAGCACATGGAAAATGAATCCCTGCTGTGTTACCTGCACCATGGAGGGGAAGCACAGCAGGAGAGGTGTGACTTCCAGGCACACTGCCATACAGGCCAGGAGCAGCCTGTGCCAGCCCTGGACCCATGCTAGCTCCCATGCCCCACAGTGTCCCCAAGACCATGACAATGTCCTCCAGCCACATCACGCCCCCGTCCCCAAGCCTCACACCCTGCTGCCACAGGACTCCCAAACAGTCTGCTGGCCTTGGAGCATAACATCAGCTTCCCCCTCGGTCAAGAGCCAAAGCAGATCTGCTCTTGTGTTTCTTGAAGAAGCTCCAACCCCACCACAACTTTTCTCCTGGAACAGTCTGCAGTCACAGTGTCAGAATACACATGGTTCATCCTGAGCCAGTGTTCTCAACTCAAGCTGCTACTGACTGAGAAATATTAGGCTGGGCAAGAAAAGAAGGGAAGAAAAAATTTGCATGATTTTCTGATATATATTATATATCTGATATATATTATATATTATGAGTGATTTTAGAGAAGACAGTTTTTCAAAGAACTTACAGATAAATCTGACAGAGATGGTACCTCTCCTTAACGTAATGGGTAGTCATGCTGCTTAGCAGCTACTTTCATTTATCTCCAAGACCAAGGCTCTATTAAAATCTTTTATGCCAGATGAAAAAGTAACAATAGTTATAAAAGCATTACAAGTTGTATATAGGCTGGGAAAATATTTTTACTTTTTATTATTGTGGTATATAAAACACCAGTGCTAAAAAGAGTGATGATAAACTGAAGCATCTCCTCAGAGATGGAGACTACAAGAAGGAGACAATGGACTAATTAAATCACTATGGATATTCTACTGTTGATATATGACAATCAGAAGGCAGGCACGGCTTCTCTGGAAATTGTTGACCCATGGATTCAGATTCAACACTTGGGCAAATGCACAACAACATTTGTCCATGTTAATGCTGCTTGAGGACCTGCAAGGGCATTAATGGCGGTGCTGACAATTCCTGTTTATCTCCACAGGCCTGGTGGCAGCTAACAATTTTCACAGCAAAGAAAGGAGTCAGCAATGTTGTCATCTTGGATCTGTCTGCTTGGACTATGCTTGCTACATAGCAAGAAAACCAGTCTTGAGTGGGAAGGCTCTTCCTGCTAGAAACATTACATTACATCACTGAGTATCAAGTAAAGAGAGAGAGACTGAAGATAATATGAGAAACATTGATCAATGGTACAACTGCAGGACACTTTCAACAGGAAACAGAGAACAGTAAGTATAGGTGGAGTAGGGTGGAAAGAATGCTACTCTGCTTCCCTGAACTGAAGACTTTTTGCTTGGTTCATAAATATTAGATCTGGGTATACTGTCACATGAGCTCTTAGCAGGGGCACCCAGTTTGTCTCAGTCTACAATGTGACTTTCTCTGCTTTCTTGTAGGAAAGAAACGGAGATTGCCAGAGCCAGCAGAAGTGCACTTCAACTTCCACCCATGGCTCAAGGCTGAGCACAGGAAAAGAAAGAAGAGAAAGACAAGATGTTAGTGTTGGTGATGTCTAGAAGTAGCTTCTGTACTTTAGGCTTCACTTTCACAAGAGTCACAGAATTGTTAGGTCTGGATCTCTGGAGATCATCCAGCCCAAGCCCTCCAGCAAGGCAGGGTCACCTAGAGCAAATTACAAAGGAATGTGTCCGTCCATGTGGGATTTGAGTGTCTCCAGAGAGGGGCACCTACAACTTCCCTGGGCAGCCTGTGCCAGTGCTCTGTTTCCCTCGGTCTCAAGAACTTATTCAACCCGTTGAGGTGTTCTAGTTTATGGCCACTGCTCCTTGTCCTGTCACTGGGCAGCACTGAAAAGAGTCTGGCACCATCCTCATGGCACCTTCCTTTGAGGTATTTATAGGTGTTGATGAGATCCCCTCTCAGGCCCAGCTCCCCCAGTCTCTCCTTTTAGGATCACATCCCTTGACCTGCTGCCACTTTTCCCGATGCACCACAGGATACCTTTGGCACTTCTGGCCACGAGGGCACTGCTGGCTCATGGTCAGCTTGTCACCCACCAAAACTCCCAGGTCCTTCTCTGCAGGGCTGGGTCAATGCCCAGCCTGTGCTGGTACTTGGGGTTATTCCTCCCCAGGTGCAGCACCCTACACTTCCTTTGTTGAATCCTGGGTTAGTAAGATCTGAAGCCAGTTCTTGTGTAGTCTTTTCCACTTCAAAAGCAGGTCTGAATTTTCAACAGTCCGTATTAGAAACAGCCAAACACCACAGAGGGATGGAAAACCACACTAGACCATTCTACATACAACTATTTATTGTCAACCTATTTCCTTTTCTGAAAATTACCAAGTCACCAGCATCTGAAGACATGACAGAATGGGATGCTCACTGAAAGCACATTTTTCTGGGGATCAGAATAGCCCTTAGACAGTCATGGGAACTGAATAAAATCATTGATTCACCAATATATTTTTTTCAAATTAAATATTAAATTTCTCCTCAAATAAGTCTATATCAGGGAGGTCTAATTAAGCCTCTGATCACACTGGGATGTCAAATTGCCCCAAGAGAGGACCTCCAAAACACAGGACATCACCCAGATATGAATGATGATGGTCCTGGATTTGCCTGGTAACACAATCAGATGTCTGCAGAAAAGAAGAAGAAAAACAAAAATCCATCTGAAAAATCTCACATGTGCCTTACAGATAACATAGACAAGGCACTAGGAAAAGGGCTCATCCTTTGAAAGTACACAAATTAGATATAAGCATTAAGACATATTAAAATAAAAGTATAATAACAAACATGTCATTAACACACTTGGAAAATAAATGGGATTCCCACTACAGCTCGGCAAATACTCATGACAATAAGGAAATATCTTTTCCAGAACTACAATAAAATCCTGCATCCAGCTTTTGACATTTGGAGTCCTCAAGCTAGTCCAGAAGATGCTCCTCAAAGAGACTTTCAAAGAAGAATGATTAAGGAGGTTTCATTGACACTTTTTTTGAAAAATTTTGAGCTAGCTACATGTCTCTAATGAGTGTTGAAGTCTGAGAACTCAGTACGTTGTACTTAAGAATTTCTTTATTCACAATATGGATAAAACTTCCTCAGAGAAAACTCACAGTTTTGGCAGTATCTAGATTTCTAAATGGAAAAGAACATCAACAGAAGAGGAATGGACACTCTGTTTACGTGAACCTGACTGCATATAAGAGAAAACAACAATGCTGCTGCTATATTTTCTTACAGAGTGCTAAATTAGTATTATGTTATGGGAGAACTAAGCCTTCTCTAATCCTTATTTCTAAACTCCTGGGAGATCAACACAGAAATCAGAGGGAATGGAGAGAGCCAGCAGAGAGAAAGTAACACAGTGAAATGGTGCAACTAAGGAGTAAGAAAAAAGAGCAGAAAATTAATACTTCAAACCTGGCCCACAGAGGTGCCCAGTGCTCTGTAAATAGCAAAGCACTCACAATAGTCACTGAAAGGACCATCTCCAGCTTATAAAGCACAACTGCACAGATTTCCCTCAAATAATTGCATTACTTCTTACACTTTTAAAAATCAGTTTGTGGCATGTTGTCTCACCTGAACCTGACCCAGAAGAATAATCATCATCATCAATTGGATAGACGCCTGATGCTTCTTCAACAGAGCTGTTGTCAAGGTATAAATCTTTATCAGAGGTCAAATCTGCTCTCTGGAAAACAGATAAGAAGGAATGGTTAAAAAGAAAACAGTTCTCCAGTGCAGCAGTCTCTTCATGTTCAGTTCTATTTTCTAAGTTGATGGTGGTACACTGAAGTCTGTACTTTCGGTTTACGCCACGCATTCATCTAAGTTGTTACAGAAATTTGTAAAAATTACAGCATTACAAAACAAAACAAAAATTCCAAGGCTGCACAATGAAAACCACACTTCATCTCATTAAATGCACGAATGAATAAATAGGATATGAAATATACTCTGCAGAGCTACTGTAACAAGAAGCAAATCCCAGGACTGAAGCCCTCTGTCAGGATCTCAAACATACAAATCTATAGGCTATCACATTAAGTCCGTTCATTTGATCTCAGATGAGAAGGAACAAAAGCATGTATCAAAAACTATCTCAGAGTTTAATCAAGCCAAACCTCATGAAACTCTCAAGTCGTAATTAGAATGAACAACTGACTACAAACGTTTTTAACCCAGTGCTATTGATTAAGGATTATGACATTTCCAGCCAGATCAAGCAGCATCATGCTCCGATTCCTAAACGAACACATCTCTCCTAAAATTTAACTGCATCTTCAACAGGCTAAAAATCTGGTTACTTGTGATTATCACCACATTTCTATATCTGCAAGTATTTCCCCACTAAAGAGAGATTCTGTTAAAATGAGCTCAACAGAACAAGGTATCAGTCACTTTTAAAATTGACAATTCAGGCTTAGAAAGACTAAGAATTGTCTTCCTCTACTTCAGCTTGCACTTTCTTAACAGAGAATAAACTTCCTTGGGAGAGCCAGGTATCTTGGATGGCTGAGAAGGTACCTGCCACTATTACTCTACTACTATAACCAGCACTTCTGTTGACACCTGCTTGTCATGAATTTTGAAGAAAATATTACAGTTGTAAATGAACTTTTAAGAAAAAAAAACCCTTAAATAACAAAATGCTATACCAAAATTTATCTATTCAGTATCTCATATAAGCACTCAATTCTGCTTCCCTGAGTCCCAAAGGTTTCCAATTTACTTATTATTGCATGACATTGACAGCCCCCTTTATTCCAGCCTACATTCACTGTAGCTTTCCTAAAGGAAAAGCTTTCTTTTTCTCCAAGCTGTGAATGGGATAACTTCTATATGCAAAGACTCACATCTGACTTTACAAGGCAACTTTTCCCCCAGACGTCTCCCCAGAGGTCTAAAATTATTGTTGAAGACATTTGTGATTTCTTTTTAGGATTTTTTCCTGGCTGCAGATTCCTGTTTAAAGCTTCTTCACAGCAAAACACTGCACATCAGTCTGATCTACAATAAAAAAAATATTCTTTATGAAAAGCAGAAAGGCCATCCTGATTATTAGTGTATTTCAGAGCAAAACAACTTAGCATGGTAAGCTTACAAAGAACTGTTCTGATTCTGCTGCTCTTAGTTCACACGGTCTGCCTGGAACTGGCTGCAGTCCAAAGCAGAAATTCAAGATGATGTCTGGTCACTATCAAACAATCTAATTCCTTTAAAAGATGTCTCCAAAGGAAGTCATGAAGTACCTTAGTAGGTAAATAGGTGGTATTGTAATTAAGACACAGCTGAGACTGTTTCCGTATAGGAAAACAACTCCCTGTCACATGACAAATATCCTGCTCTTGATCCAGCTGCCACAATGGACCAGGCTACTTCACCCTATTTTGCTTTCACACACAATCATGGCACAAAACAGACCACTCCTCATTATCAGGCAGGAAAAAACAAAACTTTTTTAAAGGAAATGCAGGTGGCTGGCTGTGAGTATAGAAAAGGCATACAATATTCAAAAAGCATCAGAGGCAGTGAATATTACCCAATACTAAGTTGGGGGAAAAAAAAATTAATATCTACATGCAGGAATTTCCCAACAATGGAAGTTGCTTTTGGCAACACAGGAATTTGAGCATCTGTTGTATTTTATTCTGGGGATGCAAAGAATACAATGTGAAACATTATTTAATATCTAGTACTGTGGATGGCAGAGCTCCATCAGAATGAGCAAACTGTTCCCTATCTATATCACTATATACTATAACAGTCTTATAGAACCAGTACGATATTTACTATAGGGAGAAATACATGGTACAGTGAATTCCGAGTGCATCCAGATCAGTCATCAAGCTCCACCTGAGGAAGATGCTTTGCAGCCTCTCTGAGCAGAGCCCCTTGCCTCAGTTCAGCCTGTTTCAGTACAAATGAGTCTGGTGGAACTCGGGCAGGACACAAGCATCCTCTCAAATCAAAGGCAAAGGAAGCATACTCTAGCTTAAAAATCTCCAAGCATCTGCATACATAAATGCATTCACTGCACTGTCTTTGCAAGCTGGCTAGCAGACTCAGGGTAGAAGCACCCCCTCCGCACCCACAGCTTGCACCTTTTATCCCAGTTGCTCAGAAACACATAGATGCCTTAGACCACTTGGAATGAAAGCTGCCTTAAGGCTCAGAATAAAAAGAAAAGCCCAACAGTTAACAAAAAACCCCACAGCCATTAAAAATAATTCTGTGAAGATTCAGCTTAGAAAAATGAGAGAAAAATAATGAAAATAAAAGAACACTTTATGGTGTTTAAGTCAGTACCAAGTACTGAAGCCATGCTTTACAATTTTATGCTATGGTATGTTAAAATAAACTTGATTTAGTATTTGCTCTAGAAATGTTTTCTCACTTGTCAGCTGTGAATCCATGGGGGTCCATGGACTACTTCCAGGATGTTCACAAAAGACAAGTTGGAAAAACGAATCTGTTGTCAGTAGGCTTGGACACAGAAAGGCCTGTACTAGCATTTCAATATATTTAGGAGGAAAAATAAAAAAAGCTAGCAAATTCTAGTTCCATAAAACTATTTTTAGGTATTATGAAGACCAAATATTTAAGTGACTATTTCCTGTGGCTAACAATTGAAATGAGAGCACTCGTGTCACTTTTATGTAACAGCCTTATTTTCAGACCTATTAAAACGGCAGGAACACCAGGCAAGGATGTCTCTGTTATCAGCCCTTTAATCTGGCCCTGAAGCCACAAAAACTGCTCGTTACCTCTTGACAAAGATTGCATTCTCATCTATCATTGTTATCCCACTTAGGTTTTTATTCCAAGAATATAATGCTGCAAAATCCTGTGACCTAAATACTTCACATGCTACATGCCAATGATCACTGACTCCTGCCTGGTTATTGACTACATTGGCATAAATCTAAATCTCATGGAAGTAGTGCAGATTAGCACCCTTTAAGTACTAGATAAAAGATATTTCCATACCAATAATATGCTGAATTTGAAATCTCAGTGTCTTTATTTTACTGCATTTTACATTTACAGTAATTTTAAATTTAATAAACTGTGACCATCCAGGACATATTAAAAAAACAAAAAAACAACAGACCCCAAACCCCTCATTTTGACACTGAGAGAGGAAACAAAGCAAAAAAGAGACTTCTTCCTGTCTCATCATCTCATGAAAGACATAAATCATCCATCAAAATTACAATGGCAAAAAATTTAAAACAATCATCAGACAACGGGAGGTTTGGGAATAGATAGATATTTTGTTTGAAAAAAATATGAAGTGCCTTGTCATAGCCATTCCCTTTTCCAGGGCTGTTGTTACTGTCAGTCCTCCCATTCCATGAGGGTGGTTTAGGAGTGAGACATTAAAGACTTTCATGCCACATGGATGACACAAAGAAAGCTGGTGTGAGCAGCAATGAAGGAGTAAAGTCTACCCCGGCTGTCGTGGCTATTGAAACTCAGACACTGGGGCAATAAGCAGCTGACACATGGAAGGAAACTATTTATAATTTACAGATGAACTCAAATTTTTATTCTCTGTCTTTGGGTATATGCATGGGACAGAGAATTTAAGTTTTGCAGCTGTGTTACTAATGATACTTTGCCTCCCTTTTTCCCCAGATGGAGTTCTTTTAGATGTAACCCATTTAGTAAGCAGAGAACCAGAGACTAATATTTTAGGAGTGATGTTGCATTCCAAATATCTAAGCCACAAGTCTCTGAAAACTTGCAAGCATTACAGCTGTTGATTAGGCAGAGTTCTTCCATATAAGAAGGAGAAAGAAAACAGGTTTTCTCTTCTATTAACACATAGTGCAGTTTCATATACACTTGTACAAAAGCATGCTCAGCTGGTGAGTCTGAGTTAACTAAAGGGCTGTACTCTTCACACACACTACATTTTTGGAAAGCTAACTATGTGAATGCACTCATCTAAAGCCTGAGAGTCACTGCAGGTTCCTACCGAAGGCTGGAGAAAAGGCAGTTGTGTGAAGAAGCTGTATTTCCTATTTCCCTCTAGGCTTCCTGCAAAAGGAACTATGATCAGCCATTCAACAGGATCTAGTCCTAACAGACCTCAGCATTGCTGACCTTGAAGCTGGCAGGTGTCTTCCTATTATTGTTTGCCAGCTCTTTGCTTTCCTTCGTCACACTAGGAAAGGTGACACTGTCTCATTAAGAGTTTGTTAACCTCATCCAGGAATGTGAGGCATGATTTTAAACAACAACAAAAAAAAAACACCAACAAAAAGAGTACAAAACTTCAAAATCAGATTTCAACCTCAAAACACCATGTTTCCCAGAGAAACATACTAACCAGAAAAGCAGCCACTTTCCATTTCTCATTGTGTTCCTGGTTCTCAGAGATGAGCCTCTTCTGACTCCTTCAGTCTGCAATTTCCTATGCTGACCACATGTGTCCAGTTAGAAACATGTAATTTTGATAGAGGATTTGATGTTACAAGGTATGTTTACCACTAATTATCTTAGTACAGATGTCTGCCTTGCCTTTCACAGTTAAAGGTACGATAGAAAAGAAAACTGGTAGTCCCCATTATTTCCTTCCAAACTGACACTGCCCACTTTTAAGGGCTCACAGGACAAAGTCTTCTCAGCAACCCCACCTCAGGTGCACTGTGCCAACCACCGTGGAGCCATCAGTGGAAATGCTGGTGGGATGTATGGTTGTGGGATTTTCTGGGAAATAAGATGCTAGTAATTGGCAACATCATTTAAGCACAACACTCTAAGGACTCACAGCTTTCTTCCTTGGAGGAACCTGCTTGCACAATGCAAGAATATTAGTGGAGCAGAAGG